CCTTAGCAAAGCGCATCCCAGGCTGCATAGCCGCACTACCCTACCCAACCATACCACACATAAACATGACACTACCCCCGGGGTTTACACAGACGAGCCGGCGAAGCAAGAAGAGCGCCAGAAGAAAGGGCCCTAGCCGGCGGGGCCCAGCCAGGACAAAAGGAGGTCCCACAAAGCGCCTACACCGGCCGCATTTGCGGTCGGGGTAGACGACGGATGGGGCCCACCTACGAAGGCTGTCCAGGCCTACACGAGATGAGGCAGGATAAAGAGGGATAATCCCCCTCGATCCCAAATCATTGAGGCCAATTTCTAGCCATAGAATAATGGCGCGTATTAGACTGGTATTGGCGTTTCTTTTCTATAGCCTGTGTGCTATGCAATTCTTTAAATAACGTTTATTTTGTTGAATTATCTTTACATGAAATATAAATGTCTAATAAAATTCTACCATTATATTTTTAAAGGCAATAGTAACTTAATGCAAACATATAATTACTAAATATTCTAAAATAAATATTTTACAGATTTTGTTCAAATGTGCCACAAAACTCTACTGCGCATGTGCAGTATGGCGTGTTGGTTGCAACCAACCATGTGCATACAATGAAATGATTGAACTAAATATTATTTCTTTCGGTGGACTGTGTTTCTTTCTATTGCGATTGCGGATAACTGTTTGACTTACTCTAACCCTGGATATAGAATCGAAACGCATGTTTTTAAAGCTCAGTGATAGGCGGTTGAATATAGTTGATTTACTGTAACGTGTGTAAATAAGTGAATAATTACGTTTTCTTCGTATTTTCGTTTATAAACCGGTAAGATAAGATTTAATAATATATTTTTAAACATAACTCCTAAGAACTTTGATCAAAGGGTTGCTAAGCAACGAATAACCTTAGAGCGCTAAATTTAACTCTACAAGATTATAATTTTTGTGCAAAAATACACACATTCAATAATCAAAAGCCCATTTTTAATCGATGAATCGTTGTCACTAAATACACATACATACAAAATTTATTATAGCCATTTCAAATATCCATTTTAAGAAGTTCTTTTTGTACTGAAATTATAAAACTATTAACTATTCATATTTTTTATTGTCTTGGTATTTTTATAGTAAAACTTAAAGTTGATGCAGTATATATATATATTGCAACTTTTACCATAAACATACCAAGACTATAAAAAAATATGAATATAATCTTTGTCCATTATTTCTTGACAAAAAGTACAGTTCATATAAGTGTACCAAATATTTTATCTACATTTTATCATATTTCTTGATGTTAGCTAGAAGCATTTCGATAATAATAGTTATGAATAATTGATAATATGCTCCAAATTTTTTATTCAAATAAAAATTTTAATATTCCTAAAAATAGACAACCTTCTGTTTAGATAGTATTAGATATAAAATTGATCTGTATTCATTTAGATTTTATTTAATAGACATTTTTTCATAAATAAAGTACATATAGTCATGTTTAAACAGACTTTTGTAAAATATGTTAAGACAATAAAATATCACTGAGGTCAAAACAGTACTAAACAAAATTAATTTTGCAATTGTTACTTCTACAATCAAATAATATCAATAAACGGTTTCTTTATCAAATTGTTTATTTATTAGCTGCATTCTAATACATAGGTACATTTCTTTTTATACAGCGTGAGACCAAAACAAAGCAATTAATCTAAATACACCAATAATAGCAGAATGTACCAAATTTTTCTTATAATCTCCAAGAAACTTTTTTGTTATTTTTTTACAATAACTCCATTACTTTTGAATATTTCAATGAAATTCTACATTGGAGATTTTGAAATAGCCAAACATGGGTTTCAGCTTCTTTCTTATATACAGATATTCCTAAGAACAACATAACAGTTTTTTTTTTGTTTTTTTTTTGCTGTTTTTGGGTAGGAATTTTGAAAAACCACAGATGTTTTTTGCAACATCATTTTATAAACATTAGTGAGAGGATGGTTTTTAATTTTTTTACTTCTGTTGTTAGCTGTGGGGAGCTGAGTTTTGGTACAAACTATATTTTTTTACTAAATCTGTAATTAAATTAAAGATTTTGTACAATTTATATCAACCTACCCTACGTAAAACTTGTAGAACTAAAAGTACTGGAA